TGATGCTGTTTCTGTTCTCACAGTCATTTCAGTAGCACTCCAACATCTATTTCTATCTTCAGTCTGTGACGGTCTGCTCAAGTTTTCCTCCACCAGCCTGGGAAAAAATCACTGCCAAAAGTTTTGCAAAAAAGCTTTTTTTTTCCAGGCTTTTCCTCAGGGCACATTTTGTTGACAAACTCAAAAGGACAACACAAAACCAAGCTATTTCCCCAGAGTGCACTTGCTGCCAGAGCTCAGAGGTCTTTTTCTCCGCCTACTGAGGGAAGAACTTCCTTCCCCCCCCCACCCCTTCTTTAATGCTTAGCTGACTCATGAAATATTCTTGTTTTAACTGTTTCAAATCCCTTCAATATTTCCACACTTGCATTTGGAGCAGTATCCTCTAACCTCTTTTTAACATATAATTTGGACTACAAGAGCCATAAAACTCTGTTTAATAAAAAGGAGATACAAAATTAATTTAATAAAAAGTATTAAAAAAAATTCCTGTCCAAACTAATCCAATTTACCATACAGACAATAATCACAATGAAGCTATTTATATTGCTTCTCTCTAATGCCCTTACAACTCAGGCTCCTGTTCAGAGTAGTACAGAATGGTACATATCAGTGAATCACAGAATCATTTAGGCTGCAAAAGATCTCAAGATCATCAAATCCCATCTTTGACTCATCACCACCTTGTCAACCAGACCATGGCACTAAGTGCCACATCCATTCATTCCTTGAACACTTCCAGTTATATATGCACATATGACTCAACTCCGGATGTACTTATTACTCCACTACCGCCCTGGACAGTCTGTTCCAGTGTTTAACAACCCTTCCCTGGAGGAAAACCTGACGTCCAACCTGAACCCCCCCGGTGCAGCTTGAGACTTTAAGCTTTTGTCCTATTGACTGACAGCTTTTGTTCTATTGCTGGTTGCCTGAGAGAAAAGGACAACCCTCATCTGACTACAGTCTCCTTTCCAGAAGCTGAAGGGAGTGAAGTGATAAAGTCACCTCTGGGCCTCCTTTCCTCCAGGCTAAACCACCCCAGCTCCTTCAGCTGCTCTCCATACAACTTACAAATACATATCCGGTAGGCACCATATAGTTTAGAAGAAACTGTTTCTGCCTGAAACATCTTGTACGTATCTTACTCTATGCAATGACAATTTTATGCAGAAAAATCCCTCTATCTTTTCACCTTGCCTTCCCACAGCCAGCATTGATTATGCAGTCTAAAGGAGAAAAAAAAAATTTCTTCTCTCAAGTGCATTTATTTCCCTAGAATCTTCAGTATTTAGCGTGGGCTACATTATTGTTGTTGTCATTATTATCAGTATTATATAATAACCACACCAGTTATCCATGTTTTTTATTTTTTTCTTTTCACTTATTCTTCTGAGATGAAACCAGGCAAAGAAGTAATGCAAAATATGTTCTACTGTTCTATCTTCAGAACAAGAGGAGAGAGGAGATTTTTAATTTGACTGGGAAGAAGGACATAGAGGAACTGTCTTTGGAAATGATTATTCTTCTAAAACCACACATATGCATATTAACTGCAAAGTGCCAAGTATTAGGTAATATACTCTTTAGACTTCAGAAATATTTTCTTTGTTAAGTAACATTTAAACTGTTCCAAACATTCATTGAAGCTCCAAATTATTTAATATGGCAGGCAGACAAAGAAAGGTCCTACGTTGGACGCATAAAATTCCCTTGAGCTCAAAAATAATTCAGTAAGAAAAAATTACAGATACTCCTTGGATTAATTTACAGGAAGATATTCACCTACTATGAAGTTCTGAGCGTTGCTTAGATGGAAATATTTTTGATTAGGAACAGTGATGGAGAACTCATTCTCCTCTGCTGTTCAGTTATATTTATGGAAATTGAGAAAAGCTATTACATATTCAAGAAAGAAATTTTGCATTCAGGGTTTGGGTTCACCAAACAGTACAGTTGGATAAAGCACTGAATCATGCTGTAACTATGTGAAGAAGAAAACGGGCAGACAAGACGTGGTAGGAACTTCTCAAAGTCATTACAAGGACAGTAGCTGCACACAGAGCTAGGAGCAGACCTTGCTTAAGAGTACTTGCCAGAGTAGACAGACTATCATCAAGCTCACAGAAGATTAATAAAAATAACTACTGAACTAGACAAAGCGTCTTCCAGTCAGAAAGTGAAGAGCACTAGAATCCACAGGAGTAGTTTAAAGGGCTTTATACAGTGAAAGACCCACACACCTGCTTTGGAGACTAAAAAGGGAATTTATGCTTTAAGTCCAAGACAGTTGGATCTATAATGTCCATAGTTACATGAGTTATATATGCACATATGACTCAACTCCGGATGTACTTATTATCTGTGCAGTCTGTATCTAAATATAGTTTGAAATTTTCTCTGCATGACTGAAGTCAATTGATGCCAAGAGAAGCAGCTCATCTAGGTGCCACCTGAGCTCCATTTCCTCTTAAAGATAAGAAGAGTCACTTTATGTTGCTTACAACCTGTGTGGATTCCTCCATTCTTCTTGGAAATTGTAACACTTGCAGGTGTGACTGATTCCAGGACAGTTTGGCAGCAAGTTTCCTTCATAAAACAGGTATAGGTGAGACAGGCTTGCTTTCCGGATAGGGGAAAGATCAAGGACATGGTTTCAGACTGAGCTTCAACCTCAGCAGACTCAAACCCAAATCCCTCACTCCTCTAAGCGTGCCCTGCTGTGGAGCAGAACAGTGTCACCCTTCCTACACTGGATCCACACTAAGGCTTGCAGATTTGGGAGGTGGTGCGTGCTTGTGCCCTGGGCAGAGGCTGTCGTAAGTTAAACATTGTCTCACTCTGTAGCCACCTTAAGCTGAGGAGATTCAGTTCAAAAAGGGAACTGTGTAAGGAGTTTTCTCCTGATCAAGAAGTCAATATGCAAAACACCACCAAATGCATTTTAAAGAGAATACTTTCTGCATAAATAGACATATGAAGTACCTAAAATGGATCAGCAAACCTTCTTAACCAAATTGACTTAGGGTCCAAAGAAGAGCAGAAATTTAAATCCCCCTGTACTTAACTTCCTACAGGTTCAAGTTCAAGGCAGCTCAGCACATGTCCTGTTCCCCAGCTAACAGTATCTGTTCTGAATCCACAAAGAACTGCACCCAGGGGAAAGGCCCAGCGGAGAAGTTTGTGGAGGACTGTTTCCCATGGAATGTAACCCACCTCAGAATGTGGGAAGAGAGTGAGGAGTGATAGAGCAGTTTGGTGAGCAACTGGCATCCTGCCACAACCAACCCACCACAGCTGTATAAAAGCAATATCGACTTCCAGTGATCTTATTAGGCAGAAGTGACTATCAGCCTCTAAGAGTATGATCCAAGGCAGATGGGTTTTTGGTAGACTATACTCTTTGTTCTAATACTCTAGTACTACAGCTTGATGCAAACTGAAATAGAATATATAAATACTGTATTTTTAAAATTCAAGGAAGTTAAAAACTTAAATAGTTAAAATAATGTTGCAATTTAGGTAAAATTAAGTAAAGTCTCTACACCAAACTGAAAGGCAGAGCAAATGACAAACCTACATATCAGAGGGTAAATGCAAAACAAATGACCTCTCCATGAATTCCTCACTTATTCCAAAGTCCTGCAGGGAAACCCACTCCTTAGCACAAGGCACACCTGGGTACTCATCACCATCACTGGTTGGTAGACACCTGCCACAAAGTCAAACCTCCCCAGAGTGTCACCTTCTAACACCCAGATCAGCCTTCTGTCCTGCAGGAGAACCACCGGTACTTCCAAAGTTCCATGCTGGACAAAAATGAGCAATGCTTTTTTTTTTTTTTTTTTTGACTGAGGACTTTTGTCGTTTAGGATTTTTTAATTAATATTATTTTTTTAAACTGAATCAAACTACCAAGTCACCAAATGAAATTTGGTGATTTTCACTTCATTGCCTTTCCAAGTTCAACAAAGACAATGAAATAGCAAAGCAATTATATATCCAATCATTACAAAATTCCATATAATTTAATTATTATTTAGTAATAAGATATCTGTTGTCACAACCTTTTGTATCTTGCCATGTTACATAAAAAATATATCAAATTCAAAAATATTGATACAATTTTTTTTTAAATTGTATTTTAAAGTCTTAGATCACGCAGTTAAAGATACTGTTATAGAGTCCTTTAGTCAAAAATTCAAATTAAGGTCTATATCTGGGGTTTATTCCTTTAGCATAATACACAAAAAGTTACATATTACTAATATTTTTTTCCTAATTGCCTCGGAAACTGAACTATTTACATAAAAAGTATCACATTTCACATTTCATAAAAACTAGCATCTTTTCATTACAGAGGAGCAGAGGAAGCTTGACAGACAATATATTTTTCTTTAATGTACACACACAAACCTGAACACAAACAGATTCAAACAATTTCCCTGACACCAACAGTTCTACTAAAACAATGGCTCTGAACTACTGCGTGTGCAAGAAGTGCTGGAGAAGCAAAGGGAAGCCAAAAGTAAAGAAATATCTTAAATGCCTTTTTTTCCCCCACATGGAAGGCAAATGTTTTGGCAAACCTTGCACTGAGGCTTAAGTTATAACAACACATAGGAAAAAAACCCCACATAACTTTCTATGTCTATTAGAAATCTTCAAATTCAGATATTGAAACAAAATGAAGAAAAATAACTTGAAAACATTTTTCCAGGAAGCACTAAATATTTTCTAAAGTGATTTTTTAATGGCTCTATTATGCTTACTATTTATTTGGTGATGTAATTTCAAACAAGATTATTCATATAAAAAATGTGAAATAGAGAGCTTTCTTCACAATGGTCTCTGAAAGCAATGAATCATCAACATAAAACGTGGGTGTGTTCTTTCTAAACTGTGAACAGTATCAATAATAAAAAAAAATTATATTCTACATTCAAAATACTCTTAGTTTTTCTTTAGCCATAACATTAAATATTTTTAAAATTACTTACATTCTGCATATTTCTGAAGTTGAGAGAACTCTCCAGGGCTAAGGTTAACCCACTTCTCCTGGCTCGTCATACTGGCAGTAAGGGTCCTCCTATATCAGAAGAATACTCCTTTCGACCCAGGTGTTATAAACTCCATAAAGATTTTTAACTTCAGCTCACAGTGTCTGGAGAGTGCTGAGATGGTATCAGTCGATGTGGATGAAATTTTCAATGCTATGAACTGTTCCAAGTGTGTTGGTTCAGTGGTGAGTTACAGCACTGTTAAAAGAGCAAATATTAAACACAGCATAAATATCAAATATACCAGAATAAAATACAAAATATTAAATACCAGGATACAGTAGTCTTCTTGTGGAAATACTTGTAACTAATAAATACTTTCTCCTATACAGTTTTGCTCAAAATATTTCCATACTGTATTTGTCTGTAAATAGTTTTATATGTATTTCCAAACTGATTTTTTTTAATTCCAAGTGCTTATGTTCAGAATTCATTAAAAATTATCAACTGTTTATGATCAAATGTATCTGGACATACTTTATGGAGATGTTCCCAATTTAGTAACAACCACTGAAATAGCAGATACTATCTTATCAGTAAACTTAGCTCCTTATGATTCTAAAATTGAATTGCTGTAACTGGATTTTTACCCAGCTATGTTGTTATTCAGCACTACATGGCCTTGTCAGAAATTCTATGAAGCTTCTAACTCTCCATGACAAAATTAAATGGATTCTGCAGTTTGCTGAGAAGTCCACAAAAGAACTATACAAATATTAACTATTGTAACAAAATAATAGAGGTTTGATTTCTAGAACATCACAGCATTGCTGGTCACTAGTGAAAATCAAATATAACTGTTGGTACCATCACAAATCAGTTCATGGGGGAAAAAAAATCAAATTGTGGGTGCCTTCTCATCCCAATTTTATGTAGTTTCCACCTCTGTAGGAAAAACCCTCTGCCCTCTGACAGCAATGAATTATCAACACCGTTCCTGGAACATCAGGTAGGCTACTTTTTGTCTAATTTTAGCCATCTGAGACCCAGGTATCTCATTTGAGATTGTCATCTCAGGCACTCCCTTTCATCATCACAAAGAGCCAGGTGGCCCAGGCAGCAATTAATCCTTCCAGTTTCAACATAGGCTTAAAACGTGATGATTGCCTTCTGTGGTATTTATCTTTTATTGATTACAGAGGTTGCCCAAAAGACTATTTTAGACTAGAAAGCTAATTTTAGACTGCAAGTGGAATCTCTTCCCATGTATAGCAATGTATAAGGTTTAAATTACAAAAAGAGCAAACAAAAAATTCAGACCAAAAGAGATTAACACAGCAATGGAATGAGTGTCAAGGAGCAAGATGTTGGTAGCTAAGAAAGAATAGAAAAAGTAGTCATGAGGGGAAAGAAAGGAAAAACAAAAAAATTACTAGGAACAGAAGCATGGGTTTTAAAAAAACCCACATTAACCCAATCAGACAACATCTTTTTTTTTTTCCTGTTTTACATATACAAGTGTCATCACTGGACAAAGAAACTCATGCAGACACTAAGGAAGACCCCTCAGTCCCAGAGCTTTCATTGCTCTCAGACCCTTCCTTGTGAATAATTTGAATGCATGGACTATACCATGAGTAAGGGTCTAAATACAATAACAGCTGTCTTGCCTTTTAAAAAATTGTACCAGAACAGATTCCTCTGCTCTTCATCTCCTCCGTTAGGAAAAAAACTATGATGAGTTGGAAGATCTAGAATCTGATTGAATACATAATATAATTGTATAATATAATTGAAAAAATAACAAAAACTATCAGGAGCATGGAGATTGGGATGAAAAAATGAAACATTAATGTAAATAAAACTGGTCAAGTACAAGGCACATCGGTACTCAAATCTCTGAATCAATGTCAGTGCCTGAAAAAGGTCAGAAACTACAAAAGCTAAACTTGCTATTTAGTAAGAAAAGTTATCATTCCGTCTTGTGAACTTCAATACTTTTACTGATCTCAAGAAAAACTACTATGGTCAATTGGGTCATTTTAATCAAATTAGAGATGTTTCATTTCTGGCAGTTGATTAGATTGTATTGAAGACAGTTTTATATCTTCAAGCACGTATATATATTTTTATAATCTTGGCAACTTATTAGATTTTATTGATTTTTTAAAATTGTATTTGCTTAACTGATTTAACATAACAAAAATTTTCGACCATAATTTCAACCAGTTTTACTATTTACATCATCCTTAACTACGTTAGCTTCATTAGCTACAAAAACTAACATTTCTGAATACTGTAAATTTAGAGATTATCTTGATTATTTAATATGCATATTTGTGATAAACAGCTTATCACTAGAATTACTACAGCTAGCAAGGTAATGATGCTGTGCACTCTGGTCTGATCAATCCATTCATATGTAATACCTTTAGTTGACCACAGTCTACAAAGTTTGTTGCATACACAGTTCATCAGAAGGGAAAACAGATCTAATTACCAACTCTGATATCCTTTCCCCACAACAGACACCCAGGCTCTACAGCCTAGACCCAGAATTGTAACAAAACATACACGTCCTGAATGAGATGGCAGCAATGGAAAAAACGTAGTATGGACATGGCAGCTCACAGGAAAGAAGACATAGTTTATGCCTAAGACAGCAGCTATCATGGAACATACAACAGAATTTAAGGTTACATTTTTGTTCTGGACAACTCTCAAATGCAAGTTCTGTCCTTTGAAAGGGAAGCCTGTGGGAGACATAGTGGATCTAATTAATCCCAGTGTAATTTGGGAACAGGAAAGGAGAGGTAGGCAGTCAGTCCTCTGAGGGTGGCTCACTGGTCTTTGGACTGCAGCCAGGTCCTGACTCCACCTCAGTATATGTGATGCAGAAATACATAGACACATAATGGGGAAGATTTCACCAAAAGGAAAAAGAATCTTCTAGGTACTTCCTTTCTTCACTTTCCTCTTAGGTTCAGCTGCAGAGTCCCAAACAAGCAAAGATCCCTGCATCGCTTAGTTTTTCACAGTTGTACCTTTTACAGTGACATTTTCCCATTTTATGTAGATAATATTGTGGTTATAAGAAAACAAACAGCATACAGACACTGATGACAAAAGTCAATGTATAACACAATGTATATTGTGTTATTTGTTAAGGTACACACTGGAAGATCATTTATATACTATTCAAATATCCCAATTTCTGTAAAATAAAATATTAGCTTATTTGTATTATCTTTTTCAGAAGTGCTTAATATAAATTCACTTCTTTACACTTTATTTTAGTGCTCATTAAGTACTTCAGGAAGACTATGCAGTGAGAAACCTATAGATAAGTATATGAATAGGAAAGTAGTATGAACAATAATACTATCACATAGGAAAAAAAGAACATTGAACTACAACAGTAATCAAATGTGCTTGCTGGTAGGAAAAATAAAGATCAGCAGCTCTAAACAGATCACACACAGTGATCTGACCTGTTCATGCAGAGATAAATTTTTTTAAGAATACAATACAGCATACAGTTAAAATACATACAACATCAGGTAGGAACTTTCCAGCAATCCTCTAAGAGTTCAGCCTATTCTGGGCAACTCAGATTGGTGCATACATTTTGTTAATATACACTTAGGCAAGATTCACAGCCCTCTCAGCAAGACACAAAGCAGGCCTTACAAATAAGAGAAACTAGAAACATGACATTAACAAACCATTCATTTAATCACAAAATGAAATAGAAAAAAAAAAATCTTCCTATAGCCACTGACTATAATAAGTCTTAGAACTCCACTCTCCTTTTTATAACATGTTTTCCTTTATGGATTTGAAAGTTTATTAAGTGTTCTGTCAGGATTCCTACCAGGCCACATATCCAAACTAGGAAGCAAAGCTTTGTTAAAAACTATACAAATCAAATTACTTAGCATTCAGCCAACATTGCTAACCAACTTAGATTTCCAGGAATTCCCCATGCCACCAAAATCCTCAGCTTCTCTACAGAAGCCTGGCTGAGAAAAGAAAAATGAATATATGATGGAAGGAAAAAACCAGAGAGGCAAATTCCCCATATGCCAACCTCATGACTCAATCTCATTCCATCTCATCCAGTCCTCTCTATAAGGAAAGATGAGTTTTCGAGAGTATTCAGGGCAAAATAAATTGCATCAGTCCCACAAAACTGATCAACAACACCAATTTGAGCTTCAAACTTGGACCCATGGAGACACGTCCAGGTTCTCAACCAACGCAACCTGGAAGGCAGGGGAGCTTCTTTTGAGGTCCAACCTCACTGCCTTGTCTGAAAGCACGACACTCATCTTAATACAACCATTAAGGGACTTATTTCTCTTCACCATAACAGGAACGCTAAGAACAGCCTAGAAACTGGCTCTTAAACTTGCTCAGCCATCTTTTGCTTTCCACCAGCCTTTCCATAATGTCCATCTCACACACAAGTTCAACAGCTGCCAGTTAGTCCGTGAATGGGGCACAGGATAAAGCTATAGCAAGTTTCCTTCCACAGAAACTCCAGTTTTCCACAACAGAACTGATTAATGATTTTTGCCTGAACAATAGGAATAAATAACATAGAATATTTTATACCTTAATTGCTATGGAGGCTGCAGCAATTATGCCTATCAAGAACTCTTCTGTACAGAATGTACTTAGTATTTCCTTCAGTGGGGTCCTACATTTTCACCATGTTTAGCTAGATCCTGTGATTTTTAGTGCAGGTGACATAATGGATTTTCCAGAGGAGAATTTTTACATGTCAGATAACACATGTTTACATGTCTGCCTGAAAATATTCTTCAAAAAAAACCAAAACATGCTAACAGTCATTCATTTCTTGCCTACAAATGTAGGCATTATGTACCGGTATACAAGACATGTGCAGGTGTCGTGCAATTGATTTTACACTTTGTAGAGAACAATGCCTTTAGCGTCAGAAATACTCCAATTTGCAAGGTTTAAAGTTTAGTATGAAGAGCTTGATGCGCAAGAAATCAAACCAAAATATCCAATATTCACCATTCTAGTTTCTTTACTTTCAAATACAAAAGTAGTGTAATTATTTATAATTGATGCCAGATTAATGGCATGAATGAAAAAAATGAAGCCACATAACAAAACACAACAGTTTTTTCCTACATACACTGCATATTTTACATAAAAACATCCCTTGTTTTGCACTGAATTTAGTATAGAGTCCTTTTAGTGGCACACTTTTTTTCCTTCAATTC